TCTCCGATATCCCCAGACTCTAGGGGCGAAAATGGTATTGAATACATGCGGGAGAAGAGAGAGACCAGGATAACTTGCTTGCACGCGCATAGAACGCCGCCATTTCCCCCTAAAATCAGGGGAAAAACCACATTCAGCACATTCAGCGAAGTGATCAGGTCATGACTGAAGAAGAATATTATTTATGTTTTAATTTGCGCAAAACAAATAAAATTCAATGACTGGCGTTGGATGTAAGCGCTGCATCTGTTGTTTATAAATTAAATGTGGTTCCAGAAACTAGCCATATCTCCACGAAGGTGGTTATTATGGTTTTTACCCCCATCCCCCCGGAATTCCCAGTTTAGATCACATTCCCCTTTAAAAAAAATTGGCTATTGACCCCTCTCCCCGACCCTTTCGCGGGGGAGGCTATTTTGCGAGCTTCGAGCCGCGAACCGCGAGTCTCTTTTTGCGAGCCTCCAAAGATTCCCGCCAAAAAATCCAAAAACGGGCATAATGCCCTAATATGGTATTTAAAACACGCGGGGGAGTTTCATTATGCCAATACCCGAGGAAAATGGAACGACATTCTCCGATCAAACCCGGCCAACCAAGAGGAATGGCTTTTACCATTTTTTATTCCTTTTCCGAATTCCTTACAAAAGTGACGAGAAGTAGCGCAGTGAACAGGTTTGTCAAAAATGGAACGGCAAATTTCGGTCGGACCAGTCCGACCGAAATAAGTGGACCACCTCCAGAGGTGATCCCGAATATTCCGGTCGGAAGAAATTTTCATTTGACTTCCGACCGAAATTTCAGGAATCTTTGGCACAATGGAAAACACCCGCGGTCTTTATATGTTTGTGCACTGTAGCATGGCAAGTGAGGTGATGGAAAGTTTTCCTCTCCTTTTTTACCTCTACCAATTAAGCAGATGTTATAGGAAGGACATTTTTCTAATCTTGCTTTTTGGTAGCGGCGAGCGAGGTAAACGGATGTATCGTGACAGCGTGACATTTCATAAGTTGACAGCCAGGATCACGAGATTCGTAAACATTGTAATCGGAGACACGAGAGATTGTAGACTACGAGTAGTCCCTCTTTCGCTTAGTCCGTCGTGTGTGACGTGAAAGAAATTCGCGAGAAAAAAATGGCNTGACTGAAGAAGAATATTATTTATGTTTTAATTTGCGCAAAACAAATAAAATTCAATGACTGGCGTTGGATGTAAGCGCTGCATCTGTTGTTTATAAATTAAATGTGGTTCCAGAAACTATCCATACCTCCACGAAGGTGGTTATTATGGCTTTTACCCCCATCCCCCCGGAATTCCCAGTTTAGCCTCACATTCCCCTTTAAAAAGAATTGGCTATTGACCCCTCCCCCCGACCCTTTCGCGGAGGAGGCTATTTTACGAGCCTCGAGCCGCGAACCGCGAGTCTCTTTTTGCGAGCCTCGAAAGATTCCCGCCAAAAAATCCAAAAACGGGCATAATGCCCTAATATGGTATCTAAAACACGCGGGGGGTTTCATTATGTCAATACCCGAGGAAAATGGAACGACATTTTCCGATCAAACCCGGCCAACCAAGAGGAATGGCTTCTACCATTTTTTATTCCTTTTCCGAATTCCTTACAAAAGTGAAGAGAAGTAGGACAGTGAACAGGTTTGTCAAAAATGGAACGGCAAATTTCGGTCGGACCAGTCCGACCGAAATAAGTGGACAACCTCCAGAGGTGATCCCGAATATTCCGGTCGGAAGAAATTTCCATTTGACTTCCGACCGAAATTTCAGGAATATTTGGCACAATGGAAAACACCCGCGGTCTTTATATGTTGGTGCACTGTAGCATGGCAAGTGAGGTGATGGAAAGTTATCCTCTCTTTTTTTTACTTCTACCAATTAAGCAGATGTTATAGGAAGGACATTTTTCTCATCTTGCTTTTTGGTAGCGGCGAGCGAGGTAAACGGATGTGTCGTGACAGCGTGACATTTCATAAGTTGACGGCTAGGATCACGAGATTCGTAAACATTGTAATCGGAGACACGAGAGATTGTGAAATAGGTTTTTTTTTTGCGAGAGAACACAGAACACAGAAAAGGACGCGTTGTAACACTGGAAGAGAATTAAACACGGATTTGTCGAGCACAAGTAAGTTGTGCAAGGAGTTGTGATTTTTTTTCAGCGCAGTAAATTGAACTGACTTTCTCGGGCCGGGCGGATGGGTTTTATCCCCAAACTTTTGAATTGCTCGAAATAAGCAGTCGTCCAGTCCTTCGATTTTACGGGGGAACCATTAAAAAAAAGCAATTAAGAGCCTGGTTTCCCAAGAGACAAAGCAACGGACAACTGGGAGCCAAAAAAA